GAAAAAAGAAAATTTTTTTTTTTTTTTGAAAAGTTTGCGTTTTTTGTTTCGTAACTTTGTAAGACCACATTTATTTCTTTTGTAAACAATTTTGTTATAAATCTGCGAATGTTTTATAAAATTAAGGGCCTATTATTTGTAAAGCACGTTGCAGTTTTAATATTTAAAAAAAATAAATTTTGAAATTAACAAAACAGGAAATGACGGGTTTAGAATAATAGAATTCTTTAGCACTAAAATTAATTCTAACCAAAATATTTATCGAGTAATCTTGATGAAATTTTTATTTTATTTTTTGTTTGTTTAAGAAATCAAAAAAAATTTTTTTTTGCGCTACAATTTTATTAAATATTAAAATTTAATTTTATTCCAAAAAATTTCCAAATATAAAATAATTTTTTAATTAAATCGCGTTATGAGTTTTAGTTACCAACGCACACGAATTTCAACTTTCAACTAAATAAGAATATTGAAAAAATTAAATTTTAATTTCAACACAAATTTTATTGAAAAATCAACAAAATTTTTATTTTAAAAACTTTTAATTTTCTTATTGTCATTGAATAATTTTCCTTGAAACGCGATTTAATTTAAAAAAAAAAATTTAAGAACAAAACAAAAAATTCTTCCGCATCATCATTACTTATATATAGGCGGTAAAAAAATTATTCCTTTACCGTTATATTTACATGATATTGTACGTATACTAATATAATACGTACATTCTTAGTATTTACCGTTATTATATTTAGATATTATTTCATACAGCTATGTGTACAATACAGTTGTTATCGCTTTTAATGACAAAATAACTAAAATTAAAAATATTTTGCGGATAACATGAAATCACAGTAACTCGAGCAACCATTTATAAAAAAAAAAAATAAATAATGCAGAAAATAACAACTGAAAATAAATTAAATTGCTATTTGCAATAATAATATTTGTTGTTTAATACATAATATACAGGTATATTAGTGTATATATATACATAAAATATCCTTAAATAAATTTTCGAAATCTTAAATGTATTGGAACAAAATATTGATTTTTCATTTCATTTCATAATCTTAAATCAATTTTAAATTTCTGATTAAGATTGGAACTAATTATAATTAAATTTAGAATTAATTAAATATTTTAACAAGATTTCACATTTATTGTAACTACTCCCTCTATGAATAAAGTTTGAAATTAATTAATCTCTTTCAAAAATAATTAAATATTGAGTATCACTCTCAATTGTTGTGAAATTCTTTTCATTAATTTTCCATTCTTCTCCATATTTTTAATTCAAAATGCTTTAATTTTTAAATAATAACGTTATTTTCATTATAAACACCTGACTTCTATATGACACTTCAACTTTATACAGTTATTCTTAAAATAACAGTAAAAAAAAATGATATATATTTTTCTCTTTTTAATTTAGATAAATGTCAGACTAAAATTCTTACCTTATTCAATATAAAATACCATGAATTTTTTTTTTTCGAGTTGGTCATTTCTCTGATATTACGAAACTATTTAAGAATTAATTGGTTATTTTAATAAAATTATAAAAATATTTTCACACATTTACAGTTATTTGTTTTTTTTTTACATTTATTCTTTCTCTTTATTAAATTTAATTGAATCCGGCACCCAAAAAATAAATAAAAACAAACAATATAATAGAGAATAGCGTTTCCTAATAGAGAACTTGTATGTAACAATTATAATATTTAACTACACATTTTCGAAGACACATAACCTCTAAATTGAACAGCTGTTTAATTTGAAGAAAAGTTTTCGAAAAAACCAAAAAAAAAATTTATTTTTCTCTCTTTTGTTTTCTGAAAAGAAAAAAAAAGCTTTTCGCTCTTCTCTTTGCAATAAAACTGTAAAAGTTTTTACAGAGAATTCGAAATTACCGTTATTTTCAGTATAAATTTCAAAGTTCATTCAAATTGTAATACAAGCATTTTTTTTTAATTCAAATTATTGAATGAAAAAGTTGAAAGTGTTTGTATTACAGATAAACTTTGAATATTACAAAAGAAATGAAAATATTTATTTTTAACGAAGAAAAAACGAAACTTTTGAAAGTTATTAAAAGTACAGTTAAAATATTGATGCTAGTGTTTGTACTAAAAAAAATATAAACAATTTGGTTTGTGTCTGGAATAAAATTTTATTTAAAAGTTTTTTTATATTTTCTTATGCCTACAATTCAAATCCAAATATGAATAGAAATAGATATATAGTAAATATATATTTTTACGGTCTTGTATAATATTATAACGGTACATATAACAGTTGATTTTCAAAAATTTTCATTTGGAAAGCTTACTGTTTTTAATGCAATTTTATGTAAGAGATGTTACTGCATAAAAGTATTATTAAATAAGTTTGTTAAAATTCTTTGATATACTTGAGAGTTATGATACGTGCAAAATTTTTAAGGCGGCTGTATATGAAAAAGTTTAAATGGATTTTATGTCATTATAATCCCGATATTCTAACATTAAGATTCCTCATTAATACCATAAAAAAGGAAAACAAAAATTAAAAAAAGAATTCTGTAAAAAGGTCGAAATCATGATTTACTGAAGCCGGAGGTGTAATAGAAAATTTTTAATTATACGTTCTTTATATTTGTTAAGAGCATATTCTGTATTGAACTTTAAAATTTTTAGAATTAAATTGTAAGTTGCTTAAAATTTATTTAAGTACGGTTCGCTTTCAAGGTAATGACTTCCAAGGCAATAACATTTTTCACTAGTGCAAAATATTATCTTTAATAACTTTACTCTAGAGTGACTAAAATAAATTACTTTTATTCTTTAATGTCTATAGTTTACTATAAGAAAGTAAATTTAAATATCTTATGATTAAATTATAAAATGCGCCTTTAAATATGCAAATCAACTTTATTTGAAAATAATAATATTATAAATTATCTTTTCCCACCTTTTTTTTTCTTCTCAATGCTAATTATTTTTAATAGTAAAAGCTTAACCCTATATCTCTAGTTAATACGTAAATACGATAATAATTGTGACATCATAAAAAATATAAGCTATATTTTTAAAATAAAATAATTTTCGTATCAGTCATGCTAGTAAAATGTATAACAATTAGAAATTTATTATATTTTGAATATGTGGGTGTTCGCAAACCCAACATAATTATTACTGTACAAACAATTAATTAAATTTTTTTTTTAATGGATGAAATTATGTTTTATAATTTATTTAGAAAATTTTCTCACAAAACACTAACTGCCCAGCTATTATACACATAAAGCGAATAAAGTAGTCTACAATATTTTTTGCATTCTTCTTCTAATTTGATAGAAAAATTATCATTATATATATATATATATATATATATATATATATATATATATAATTTAAAATATTACGTATGTAAACAAGTTAAAAATTAATAAATTAATTTAATACAATGGTCACGAATTGTTTTTAAAAACATGTTAATTTCTATAATATGTAGGTTCATTTAACAATTTGTTACTTATTAAAGTGATAAGTACATTCGTTTTATGACACAATTTATACAATCTTATATACGTCTTATACATGTTATACAATATCCTTCAATAATATTTACACGTGTAAGAATTAACTGGCAACAGTAACAATAATGTCATAATAATGATTTCATATTATAAAAAGAATTAAAATTATGTACGAATAGATACAAAAAATGTTGCTAACGTGATAATATGATAATTTTTTACTTTTATATAATTGTAAAAAGATAAAAGTAATGATTGTAAAGGATATAATTTAAATTGTTTACAAACACGATATAAAAAAAAAAAAATTATCACATACTATACGCAAATCAGTATGATTGGTGTGATGAAGAAAAAATTTCTTTTAATTATTCTGTAAAATAAGAATGCGTATAACAGAAAGAGAGAATTTCTTTCGAAATAAAGGCCGGTTCAGTTTTGGAGGAACTATAAATTAAGAATTTACAGAGTACGTACAAGAAGATGGAAATAGGAGTAATGGCATGAGGGTGTTAACTAATTTGCTAATTAAATAATGTCGGTTCGACTTATTTCTAATATGATTTTTGAGCAGTAACTAAACGGTTTCGAACCAATTAAAAGATTTCTTTCAAATGGAACCGCAATAACAGGAAATGTTATTATTAAATAACGCATGTGTTACTCCGAAAAGGGCGATTTTTTTTATTATCAATTTGGCCAAAATTTGATAAAATGTGTTCACAATCATAGAATCCTTTAAAAGTGACAGAACCTTCAAAAGTGATGTTTGACCGTCCGAAAATACTTTAGGATTTCAATTGAAAGTTTGAATAATAGCAAAGCTTTCAATTACTTCTAATTCGAGCTTTCAACTAATAACTAATTACTTGTTATACCCTGCAACTTCGGATCCGGTATATACCCTGCACCTTCGGAAAAGTTTCATAGCAAAATAAATGTACCCTTCGGGAAGGATGTATTCATTTTGTTATAAAACTTTTACAAGTTGTTCCTTTCCTGCCAGAGACGGCTGTTATTGTAATTCTACTGATTCGGACAACGTGTTCGGGTAGTTACTATACAATTTAAAATGGTTGTTTTTTTAGAATATTTGAAAAAATAATAAAACTAGATTTATGAAACTAGACAGTCATGTGTCCTATTGTTCTAATTATCTATAGGGTGATTTGACAGGTTGGAGTACTTTGTATAAAATAATGAAAGCTAATTCTAGATATTTCAAAAACAAATTTTTAAACTCAGATTGTCAAGGTGCAGGGCAGGGTATAATTCGGTCAATTTATAGCGACTGAAACATTTTTACTTGTTTATTACAAGAGTTTACATTAGAAATTTCTTCAACCCTGCGAGTGACAAATTTACTGAATTTTTTATAAGAAACTTTTATTAAAAATTTAATAATTTTTTCATTTAAAAACATAAGCTGAGAATTTTAATTCAAAATTTTAATTTTTATTTTTTCAATTTATTTTTTCAGATAAACAAATTTTATAATTCATTTGTCGGTATTATTAGAGATGATGGAATTTTTTCATTTTTATTGAATTCCCCATTTAAATATAATTTACAAAAACTGAACCATATTTGGATCTTCATTTAAGGAATCATTATCAAATAAATTAAAAAATTAAATTTTAATAATCTTATACATCCATGTGAACGAATATTTTACAAAGAGAAAATAGGAGATTACATCAATATCATAATCTATATGAGTATATCAATTTATCCAAATATGTATGGAAGAAAATTTATAACACCAATATTTAGAAGAAATCAAAAATAACAATAATTATTGTATAAAGAATGGCATCAGTAACAGGACAACCAAGAAAACGAAGTTTAAAAAGTGTTTTTATTGGTGGACTTGGTGCTAATCTTCATAGTAATAATAATTTTAATATTAATTCTGGTGGTAGTAGCAGTAATAATAGTAATGATAAAGAACCAGATACAATATTATTAACAACAATACCAATAAAAAATACAGATAAAAATTGTAGTGTTATTATAACATCACCAGATTCTTTATATCCAGATAATAATAATACATCAGCATTAACAGCAGCAACAACATTAACATCAACAACAATAACAATTGATCCACCAAATAATACAATAGCAACATTAGATCCAAGTGGTAATTTTAATGGAAATAATATAGGAGTTACAAGTATTGTTAGTCATAATAAAGAGAAAAAACGTACACGTAAAGATAATGTAAGATTTGATACTAAGGAAACACATTATGAAGATAATTCAGAGATGAGATCGATGATTGCTGAAGAAATACGAAAGTAAGTATATATTATATAAAATGCATTTTCATTTTTTAAATTTTAATTTTTTAATTTATATTCCAATTTTAAAATTGATTCTCCTTTTTTTAATTTTTTTTTTTCAATTTTCATTGTTTCTTTTACTTTATAAAGAAAATTTTAATATTTGAAAATAATGTAAATTTCATTTATTTATACTTCAATACCCTTAAGTATTTAGTACGTGTTGTGGGAGGATCTTTTTAAATATGTATAAATATTTTGAGTTTTGAGAATTGTGTGATGATAATGAAAGATAAAATATTTAAATATTTCTATATAATTTGAAAATGAATGAATTTTCAAAGCTATTAACACCTTCATTCCGTTGACGTCACTCAACCTTATTACTTATGTACTTTTATTAAAATTTCTTCAGAGTTGAAATAAATAAATGATACAAAATTGAATAAGTCTGTTACGAGTACAAAACGCGTGGTAGTTAAAAAATATTGAACAATAAAATTAATTTTTCATTGACATTGTCTTATGTCATAGTACTGCGTTCCCATCTTGTCAATATTATTATACCCTTGAAGTAAATCTGTCAAACAAATCAGTATGACAGGAAAGTGAAATGTAAAATTTACTCAATATTTTATTAAATGAGAAAAACAGAAACTTCTTCTTCTTTGTTAGCATTACAGCCTTCTGTGAGCCAAAGCTTCCTCTTCTAACTTCTTCCATCTCATACGAGTACGATCTAGCGCTAACGTATTGGAGTTAGTCGATCCCATTTTTCTTCAATATACTTCCACCGGCTTTTTGGCCTTCCTCTTTACTTTGTTCCCTGCACACGATGTGCAAATAGTTCCTTTATCATATTTTCCCTCGGCATTCGAATAACGTATCCCAGCCGCCTATAATTCTTTGCGACTTCACGAACCGAATGATGTTTTTATGTTGTGATAAATCTTCTAGTTCGTTATTGAACCTGATTCTATAAAGAAACAGAAACTGCTACACAATAAACAACATTACTTATCAAGTGCATATGTACAATATCAGCACTCGGTCATATCTGAGTACTTAATTGATTTGGTGTTAAACCGAAAATGTAACATTTTCCACAAACATATGGTATAGTTTTTGAGGTCTCCTACAAATTTCTGATCAAAGTCAAATTTGACATTAATATTAAATGAACTGTTTTAAATTTTATAAGTAAAGTAATTTAGGTTAAAACAAAATTTCTCAATAAGAGAAAAAGAATAAATCCTTGGGTACAATAATATGTTAAAAGTGTAAAAAAAATAAGTGAGGGTGCGTGCAAATTTATTTGTTTCTTTTCAATTAAATTGTAAAAAAAAATACAAAAAAAAAATTAAATAAAATTCAATTTTGAATAATTTACAGTGAATTGACATGATTTTTTGAAATCAATTTTAAAAAAGCATTAAATGAAAAATGTCAGATTAAAATGCAAAATAAAATGAAATTCCATAAATAAAATTTCAATTTAGCTAGAATCAATTACTAAAATTTATGTCATATAAGATCCAAAAGAAAATTTTTTTTTTTTTTAAGAAATTTGCATTTTGTGTTCTTTTTCTTTTTGCGTGAAATTAATCACAAAAAATTTGCATGCATATGAATGAAATTTTTTTACATACATTTACAAAGTTCTTCTCCAATTCGCTTCTGAAGAAGCACTTTTCCAACCAAAAAATGAATACACCGGTAATAATAAGAGTTTACTACATTCAAATAGTTATTTTTATTCATATACCAAAATTTTTCAATTTATTGCATACTTTTGGGATGAACTAAGAAAAAGATTGGAAACAAACGTTCGTTAACATGATAACGGTTGATTAATGGATGGCTAAATTAGTGAACTAAGATAAATAATTATATTTTTTGACATGAAATGTCATTAAAATTTGGGAAAGCTTGTAGTTTCGAAAATATAAGACAAATTTTACCAATATTGTGTGGCGATAAATTGGGTTGAGAATGGAAAAAATTAGCTTCTTACAAAATGAACTATTTATTAGTACATATTTAAAAGCTTGTAAAATTTAAGACTACTAAAACTTATTTTATGTCTAAAAGAAGAACTATACCAAAAATTTGAAAAAAAAATACCGGATTTCAGATTTCGACCGATGGACTGACTTAAAGACAACCGGACAGAGTAAAACTAATAAGCACTTTTTTCCAAAAATATTTTTTTTTTGAAAAATTGCTAAAAAGAAATAGTTAAATACGAGTATGAAATGTTAGATCCAATGAACTTAAATTTGAATATTTGCTAAAATGATAATTAAATTTCTCATTATGATATTTTGATGTGAAAAAAAAATTAACTATATTTAGGTACTATAGTTGAATGGGGCGGTTTTTTTTTTTTTTTTTTTTTTTCCTTATTCACTCCTAGAAGGAGCATAGAGCTAGTGCATGATTTCTCATGCACTAGTTTCATAGCGTCATAGAGTTTAACTAGGTAGGTGACTAATCTGCCGTAGTTTTATTTATATTAATTATTTGAGGTTATTAATATTTACTGTTTATTTTTCTTAGTTTTTTTTTTTTAATATGGAATATTACGAATATTTGAAAATTACTTGTATAATATTTATTAGTATTGTATATTAAGTTATAATAATATTGAATATAATTTTTATAGTGACCTGACCGGGGTTTGAACCCGAGACCCTTCGGTTAAAGGACCGGTGCCATAACCACTGCACCAATGGTCAAATCTGGGGCGGTTACGCATATTTATTCCGGCAGATGGTTTTCCGTTTTTTAAAGAAAAATAAATGACAACTTTTCAATTTATTAGGTTAGAATTAATTTTATAAACTAATAGGATTTTTACATAAAATAGGTTTCGGTTTACTAACTTTTTGTAACTATTCCGCTATTAGTAAGGTATTGTATATCCAGATAAAAGTTTACTAATTGTTTTTAGCATTTGAACAATTTTGGTTGCAAATAATTCGTGTCATTCGTACGAGAATTGAAATAATTCACTATAGTTGTTAAACAAGGCGAATTTAAAGGGAACGAAAATTGTAATTCAATGTAATTTCAGACACGTATTAAGGCTTGTACATAAATTGTGCTTTACATTTTCAAATTGACAAGTGACAGCTTTTGAACTTGATGTATTTCAACTTTCATTTCTAAAATTTGAAGCATATATAAAAATTATCTTGTCAAAATTAATAAATAATTTTAATTATATTAAGCACATCATCTTATTTGTTTATAAAATATTCACATTTTTATAAATATTTCTACATAATCACAACCATTTTTGATTATATTCTTTTATGAATCGAAATACAAAAACAAATTAAAATTTGACATAATCTTTAATTATACTCTTTAATTCTGTATTCAATTTTATAATTTCATTTTTTATAAAATTCCTTTTTGCCGAATCAATTATTTTATTTTCTAATTTTTAAATTTGTCAATGGCCTTTATAATAATAATGAATGTGTCCAAAAATTAGAAAAAATAAAATTTTTTCTAATATTTTTTTTTCTTAGTTTAAACAAAAATTGTCATCTTTTCTCTTTTTTTTGTTAAAATTTTACAATGGCGAACCGACCGACAATGAATGATCTTTGTTATTTACTTGTCATTTCTATTGTCATAATCATTTCTGCCCAAAAAAAACACAAAAACCATATTATAACAATAACAAATGAATTAAAATACAACAATAATAAAAACGAAAAACAATAAAGATTTATTGATAGAATCTATTCAGCCAGATGACAACAATTAATTAAAATTGTAAAAAAAGAAAATGTTATAAAAAAGGAGAAATTAAAAAAAAAAGAGAAGAGAAAAACGTTCTTTCTCTCTTTTCATTAGTAATTATTTTTGATACAACGGCTGCTGACAATATCAGTTAATCTTAATTAACTAACTTTTGTTAAGATTTCAGTTTAAATTTTGATATTCGAAACAAAACTTGAACAAAATTCATAACAGTATAACAAATTTGTTATTCCGTTTTGTATTTCTAGTTCCTCTCTCCAGTTGATAGATATTTGACACATTCATGTTAATGCTTTTTATTTGTCAATTATACAGCGTTTCATTTAAGAGACCATAATATTTTAAACGTATAACGCTTCAGATGTATAACAATTTCCATTGCACCAATCAACATGAGGGAGCATTTAAGAAGCTTAGCAACGTACATTTAATCGGGTAGATTGCTTCACAGGAAAATTTTTAAAATTTATATAGGATTTCAATAAAAATAACTGTTCATGTAACAAAATGATAAATAACAAATGACAACTGTTCATATAACACAGAGAAACAGACGAACTACTCTCAACTACTTAATATTTTCGGGAAAAAATAAACAATAAAAAGAAAATCATCAATTATATGTGTATTACTCGTAGTAGTTTAAGAATATTATGTTGTAATTTTTGGTTAGAACAATTGAGTTGCCTTGCGGTGGGTCTCTTTACCTGTATATATTATCATTTTATATATTATCTCAATTAATTTTGTTTAGAACAATATTGTTTTCAAATTGAGAATAATTGAATTCAAATTAACTACAATTGAATTTAAATTAACAGTAATTGAATTTAATTTTTATAATATGATCAGCAATATAAAATATTTTTATCAATGATATTATTGCTTTTCCGGACAGGAAGATAGGAGAGTTATGTATGGTCAAAAGGTATTTTAAATTAGCAATCAATTCAAATATGAACATTCAAATTATGCACTGTGTACGGTTTTGCATGACCATTTTAGTGATCACATTAATAACTATGTATCGCTTTCATTGTATTTGAGCCAAATTAATGTAATGTGGTTTCAAAAATATTGTTCCGATGAAATAACTCCGAAAATTAAATCCGAAAATTAACTCCGAAAAATTTATAAACACCCCTTAAAATATGGCATTATATTAGGAAGTATCCGTTAGCAATATTAATAGTAGATATCTTATGGTAATCTTGAACATTTTTTTTTTTTGGTTTATGATATTTGTTTCATTAAAACTTTTGGTCAAAATACTGTCATTTATACTTCTCTTTTTCTCTCAAGTTTTAATGAAAAGGATAAATAGACAATATAGAAAGCCTTTGTAATAAAATAAATGTGTTTTCTTTTGTTTATTGTTCTTATAAATATTTTTGGTCGAAAATTAAATTCAAATTATCTATTGTGAAATTAAATTAAAAAAAAAAAAAAAAAAATTTTAAAACAAATTTTAACTATTAACAATTTTAATGGTTTTTACTAACTTTCAATAAAATAACATGAAAATTTTTAGTCTACCAGATATTGTTAAAACCGCGAAAATATTTTAAAATACAAAATATTCAAAAAGAAAATAGGATAATTAGTGTGTACATATGTAATCATTAATAGTTATTTTATCTATTTTCGTTTATTATTATTATTGTTAACAATGCAATAAAAATAGTTATTGTTATTTTTTTATTTCTTAATTTAAATTTGGATAACAAATTTTATTTTGCGCAGTGCTCATATAAGTTGAGATTTTTTTTTTAAATTTATTTTTCAATTATTACTTTGCTGAACAGTGTTTTAATTAATTCTTGTGATTGAGTTATTTATGAGTGATAAAACTGAGTGATTTATAATTGTTTGAGTAAGAGTGATTTTCCGCGGGAAATGTCAGAATTTTATAGTATATTTAAGAGGGACTGCCTACTGCTCAGAATCAAGCAAAATTACCAACACGTATTTGACTCTCAGCGGCTCAATCAGGAACACGGCTCAAATTCCCCACAAATTTGGTGTTTTTAATCGGAGTCTATTATTATAGGTTTAATTTTGAATATGAGCATTCCCAGGTATTCACAATAAGTAAATAATTTGATATTTTTATTTAATAAATGTTTGTATAATTTTGTAGTTACTATATTAACTACAAAATTATACAACTACTATATTAACTACAAAATTATAAAACTTGTATAATAAATGTTTATTATACTCACATTATACTGTTGTTGATATTTTAAAAGGCTCAGAATACAAAATTATTTTTATATAATTAAATAATTTGTCATGTAATTTTCTACATTTTTTTCCCCGCTTAATATTTCTAGAATAATTTGAACAAATTTAACCAATTTATTTATAATTATTAATAATACAGTGAGTAACAAATAAATTACTGCAATAATAATTTAAAAAAAAAAAGAGTGTTGCCGCTTCTTAATTCAAATTTATCTATATAAAATAAATTTTAAAAAACAATTCACCCAAATTCTGTGTATAAAAATTTTTCACTTAATTTTATTTTCTTTTTTGGTATAGATTTTATGTACAAGTATTTATAAATAAAATATTGTCATATTGTATTATTATTTGTATGTAATACTGTATAACAAATTAAACATCTTATTATTGGAATACAATGGTATACTAATAATACATATGTACGTATGTATATACATTTAATATTATTTAGGTAACAAATTTTTAAAATGTTTATTTAAGTACATACATAAGATTATTTAAAAATATATTTGAACATTTTCTTTAAAAATAGAATGACATTTTTCAATTCATATACCAAAATTTTATATATTGAGCTTTGCAATATTGTACGTATATATTATGTATATGTATGTGTATTTGCACATAGTTATTTAAACATACATAAAATCTATATCCATAAAATTTTTTGTTAATGTAGGTATGCCTTTTTTTTTTTTTTGGGTATTTTTGTAGTGTATGCAAAATTTTTATGAAAAAACAAATTGTATATATAAAATATAAAATTAGAGTACATTGACCGTCAAAAGCAGAACACACGATAGCCTATTGTAATAGAAAAAGAAGTAAGAGTAAGAAAGGGGAAAAATTATTTAATAATATGACGTTTAATGAGAAACCTTGACTTCGTTTTAATATGCAACAACAATACAAACATGCATGTAATTGGCATGAAGGTGTCGGCGTTAATGTCGATTAAACGTTCATTTATGCAAATATTGAGCATTAAAACACATTTTTGTTTTTCTTTTTTTTTTTCAATTTAAATTCATAATATTTTTACGCACGTTTAAATGCATATTAAATGTATATGTATGCATTTATATTTGTTTAAATAATTAATACTTAAATTGAATAAATATAATAATAATAATAAAACAAAATTACAATAAAATGCGTTTATAACACGTTCACTTTAATTTTTTTTTTCGCTTATCAACTTTTATTTGAGTACGATTGAACAAATCAACGAGTTTTTATTTTCTTTTCTTTTCTTATTCTTCGCTAAATTTTTTTTTTTTAAATTTTCATTTATTTTTTTTTTTTTTTTGTTTTATCTGTATGGAACGAACGACTGACAACAATTTATCAACTACCTTGAGACCAACTGATCGTGCCATATTTTTTACTTTTTATATAGTTGCGTCTCGTGCCAATGCAAACTAATCTGTTTTAGTGTATATACGTATATAGAAGAGAAAAAAAAAACATAAAAGCTTTCTCTCAAAATCATTAACAATTTTTTTTTTGGTATAGATTTTTTAATGTTTCATTTAGAAGATCTTTAAAACAGTTACATATGTAAAATGCTTGTATTTTTAGTTTTACAACTGTTTGATTGCTTATTTCATACGTTTCCAACTGTATGATCGCATGGAATAAAACAGATTGATTGCAATTTTTAGTTGACGCAATCGATTTGAATTGAAGGAATTGATTAGATGTGCGCTCAACAATTTTACAACCAAGCAATAAAAATTGCATGCATAACTGAGCCCTAAATTAGATTATTAATACGGTTTGTTAGTTTATATTCTATTTAATGACTGTTGTGTGGTTGTCGCATTTTTTCACATAACTTCTACTCTTTTTCTTCGCTCACATATTGGTATTTCTTTGGAATAATTTTGACAGAACATTTTATTTTTTGAAATAATTTTTTCAAATGTCAAACTCATTAGAAAATAAAGTAGAAACATATTTTTTAATATAGTCCGACATTCCGCTGTTTAATTTGACAAATTTTAAAATATCCTTTTTTATTTAGTGACAAAATTAATTAAATTTTGAATATTTTTAATTTTCTTGCAATTGAGTATTTTGCATGACACACAAAATATAAACAAAAAACACTTAGATATACAAAATTATTGTATTGTTTCAAATTATACCTTATAATAGCACCATATAACGATTGACTAATGAAAAATTTCAAGTATATAATTAAAAAACCATAAAAAAATTTTTTTTGCAAAAATTTTTAGTAATTAGTTATTGTATAGCTGAGAACAAGTTCTTTAATATAATCAATTAATTGTTTGTCTTGAGCTAATGTTATTTTATTAGTTTTCGGCATTTATTTAAAGAATGAATTTGGGATTGATTAATTTATAGATCGTTTATCTTGCTTACTTTAATGTATAATTAAATATTATGACTCTTTTAGAACATTTTATAATAGGGTATACTTTATATTGGAAATGAATACAAAGCTCATGTAAATCATGTTTCTACAAGTTTTACTTCTATTCAAACAAACTTGTATGATATCGAACTAGTTCGATACAAATCATTATTTCGAGAATTTCATTCTTTATTATCCGTTTTGTTTTTGAAATAATATTTTAAAATGTCATCTAAATTACACAATGAAAATTGAAATTTAAGTGCAGTTGATAACAAATATGGTAATTTGTTCTAAAAGTTGCAAAATTTTTTAGATGTGTTGTAATAATTTAGTTTGTAAAATAGTTAAATTTTTATAATTAAATTAAGTATGTTCGTAATGTTGTATTATGCAACTAGTTGTGTAATACTCGTATGTTATTGAAAATGTTATGAATTGTAACACTGTTTCATAATATATATACAAATTTTTGTACATCACTATTTGTTAAATTTTTGAATTTAAATTATTTTATTTTGATAAATTAAGTTGAATAACAATCAATAAAAATGCAAGTATATAGTTTCTTATACGAAATTCCCTTTCTGTTTCAATACTGAAACTATACTCGTGAAAACTATTTTGTTATAAGAAGAAAACAGAGAACAGAAAGAGAGAATGTTAATTTATTAGAGTCTAGATTGTTTTAAAACTTTCCCTCTCCTTTTTAAGCCAATATAAAAAATAAATTTATTGAAAATGAAAAACAATTATTTTGACATAAACTCTTGTCATTTTTGACATAATTGCCTTTTATGTTTCTAATGAATAATGAATACTTTTATTAAAAATTGAAAGAAAGTTATAAAAAATATGAAAAGAAATTTTCGGATTCAATTATTAATTGACATTTTAAGTCAAAATTGACAGATACAGAAGATTCATATTAGCAGACACGGAAAACAAAAAAATAATACCCGAAGGTTGAGTGTAACACTTTCATTATTTTGAATAAAAATTATAGTAATTTTTTGGTGTAAACATTTGGTTTTTTTTTTCGGTTTATTCGTAAAATCATTGTTTACTTTTGTTTTACATTATCAATCATTGTTTACATTCATATCTTACGGTATCTTTATGATTTTATAATTTTTATATAAAATTATCGTAAATTAGTGATGATAATGGTATAAAACTATAATCACATCAATTTAATGCTTATGACTTAAAAGTTACGGTGTGTACAATGGAAGCATATTAAAAAAATTTTTTTTTAATGAATGAAGTACAGCTGTAATATGATGGGTTTTGAAATGCGAGCTGGAACATTGTTTTGAGTATGTTATATATAAAGTGCAAATTGAGAAGATGCTTGAGTATATTAAATTTTATATTGCAGTTTTAAGGTTTATTTGCTTCCATTTAATAATTTTACTTGTTAATATTTTAATGTCAAGTTTAAAACGCGGTCAATGCATCCATTCAAATCAATCTAAAATAAAAAGAATTCAAGACCGTTTAATAATAAAATAATATGAATGCATTTAAAATTTATAATTATTTAATATGAAATAAATTATTTTTATAAAATACATAATAAAAAAACAGCAAAAGAAGTTGGTTTTGAAGTTCCAATGAAAATTTTTACATTTAACCCCCAATATTCAATCTTATTTTTGCTCTAAATTAAAATGCAATGGCAGTATGATTAAAATATATTTTTAATACTTATTACATTTTTAAATGCAAAATTTAAATCAAGTTTAAATTGGCGCATTGTCATACACATATTTCATATATATATATATATATATATATATATTTCTTAGTTAATGAATTTTTAATTAATTGCAAATAAAAACCAATAAAATGTCATATGAAATGTACATAAAAATTTTAATATTCAAAAAAAAAAAATAATTTTTTTTTTTGTGAAAAATTTGTGTTAAGGACATTGCACGTTGATTCTACATCATTTTAATATTGAACGTATTAAGAATTTAAATTGTTTCTTGGAAACCCCAGTGTTATTATATGAATTTTTTAACATGAATTAATTATTAGGCTTAATATAATACGAAAAAAATTGAATTTATTTGAGTTGAAAGTAAATTTGTTTTTTTTTGTTAATGCTTATAAGAAATAAATTTTTTTAATAACAAAATATTGAAGTAAAACCTTCTCAAGTATTTCGTCGAAAAATGTTAGAAAATAAAATGTGGAATGTATGGAACTATATAAATTTATAGCCATAAAAAAAAACTTGTTTCGATTTCGAACAAATTATATTTGAAGTATAAAAAAAAACTACGCTTAAAATAAAGGATGATTTTCATTGCTGCCTTTAACAGTTCAGGTATGATTCTTAATAATTTATTGTCAACGTCAAATCTATTAAATTTAGTTTGATTTCTACGCAGATTTATCATGAATAATAATAATAAATATATAGGTAGATATTATGGTCATTGAGATTTTGTGAATACGAGTATTCGCCTTTTGGATTATGTCGAATATATATTGTGATTGACATTTAGTTATCGCATTTCATACGGTAACGCGAGGTAATTTTTGGTCGAAATGTTCGAAAAGATGTCTAAAATTTTATTACTTCAAAATATAAATTAGAATCTTGTTTTGGTTAGCATTTATCTGATGTAGGGGGTTGTTTGTATATTGAAATAGAATATACATGGAAATTTAAAATTTTTTCTGTAATTTTCTCAAATTTCAAATTTCTACTAAACAATAATTTAGTACATGTACCTTAATTAGAAATACTAATGTAACAAAAACAAATTTTTCTAATTTTATAAGTATAAGGTATGAACTTGATTTCCAATTATTTCATTTCCGAATTTCGTCATGGTCATAATTTACGTACTTTGTTTCAATAGAAACCAATATTATTTTACTGTTTATTTTCAGGAGCAGTTTTACTATAAATATTTGTACTAACATATCTTATGCACATACTATATATATATTGTATGAAAATATACATATATCAATAAATTTCTTTTTAAATTAAATAAACAAAGTTGAAAATTTTATAAACATAGCTGTACTTTGCAGCAGACGCGTTCACTGCTTACGAGTACATTCAAATACATAAAATATCTTTATTAAGCACATCTGTGTTAAAACATCTCTATATACATACATATAATGTACGTGAATGAATTAATAGTGTATACTGCATATTAAAGTTACTCGTATATTGATTTCCGAAAACCAATCATTCAATTTATTTTTAAATTAATTTATTTAATTAATTCAATTACTAAAAGATATTGATAAAAGTTCTTGTTTCTTGTAAATTATTTTTAAATTTTTATATTCTACTACGGTTTTTTTTTTCTTTTTTAATAATTAAGTAATTTGTAAACATGTTCACGTGTTTCATATGCATTCAAGTACATTTTACTAATAGTATTTGTACTGTAAAAGCAACTGTGCATTTGTTTGTATTTTTGTATGAAATCTGATGTGGTCAGCACATAACCGACTTGGAATGTGTATTGCCTAGTTTAGTGTAAGTTTTACAGAAAATTATGAAAATGCGTTTTGAACACTTTCTTTCAATTTTAAGAAAGTAAAAAAGCTGTTAGTTGACATACCTAGAGAAAAGTGTAAATTTTTCTTGTAGTTCAATTTCGTTTTGGGCCACGCGATTTATTTGAAAAGTTCACCAGTTAGTTTCGGTAAAAACCAGAACTCAAATATCAAATTTCAAGTATTTCCATTAATCTGTTCCAAAAATATGGTAAAAATTATAAAATCGGCTCCCATCTAAAAGTAGTTTATTTACGCTACACTATTATGGAAAAGGCCGTTCCCACAGAAAACTGGACATCCATAATTTGGTACCATCACATGACCTACCAACATTGTATACAATGCAGTCGGTAATAAAATGTACATACAGATAAGTATGATGAATTAATTATTTGATTATTATTTGTTGATATGCATATATCTGTGTGAGTATATTT